ACAACACCATACTTTCAGGTGAACACAGAAATTTCGTCTTTGAAAATGGTGAAAACTACAATATTTGTCTCGAACCTGATCAACCTGATGATAACATTGGGCTATGTTGAAAGTCCTTGGAATCAATATTATGTAATTAATATATATATATATATATATATATATATATATATATATATATATATATAATATCCCAAGCATTAAGCCTAGTCGATTGAATAAATTACATCTCTAATTCCCAAGCATTCATTACGCTAAAAACTACAAATAAAACTTCAAAATAAACCCAGTATGCAGACTCATAAACCTAACTAAAATTGAACCAGGAAAAACAAACACAAAAAAAAAACAACCACAGATGGGTTCCGAAATACTACTACTAATACTACTACTACTACTAATAACAATAATAATGTGTTAGCCCAAAATGCAGATTCTGTGATAAATATCCAGAAACGATTGATCATCTTGTATCAGGTTGTACGATATTGGCACCCACTGAATATAAAACCCGGCATGACAGAGTGGGCCAATAACTTCTACGGGAAGGAAACTGAAAGAAAATGGTATGAACGCCACCCAGATCCGGTTACGGAGATAGGACCTGTTACAATTCTATGGGACTACACAATACACACTGACAGAACAATCAAAGCCAACCGCCCAGACATTGTTATTAGAGACCACAAACAAAAAAAGTGCCTCCTTATTGATATGGCAGTCCCTGCTGACTGCAATATATCTTTGAAGATATTCAAAAAGCTGTCAAAATACAAGGACCTTGAAATAGACTCAAAAATGTGGCATATGGGAACATCAACAATCCCTGTTGTAGTTGGAGCCCTAGGATTGGTTGGAAAAGATTCCAGTAGACTAATTGAAGGGATTCCTGGAAGTCCATGCCTCAAAGAGATACAAAAAATTGTTCAGACAAGTACAGCCCACACTTTACGAAAGGCTTTATCTATGTAATTTTTTTTTTTTTTGTCAGTGGAAAGTGTCATGATGCCATTTCTAACCTTAGGTCCCTGGGCGGGACCCAGAAAGAAATGTGTAAACGCCAGAAATCAAAGAAAATAAAAATGATAACAACGGCAACAACAATAATAATAAGAAGAAGAAGAATAAAATGCATAACTGCAAATTTAATAAATTATATATAAACTATTTCTGCACTTCAATAACCAAACCCATGCTGGATAAATCCATCTCCTTAGCCCAGTAAGATATAAAAATAAGCACAAACGAATTAAAAATCATTAAGTACTGCCAAAAGTCACTATTATTTGACAACAATGTTGTTTGGTTAAAGAAAGAAAGAACGTTCCGTATAGAATATAACTGTGCTTCAGAAATCATTAGGCAGTGATGTTTCGTGCGTCCGTTTTCCGCCTTGAATGTTTTGTTCGAGGTGGAAAACTGGCACACAAATGCCATCATGTTGGTTTTACAGCAAATGAAGAGCAGCTGCCTGAGAGTTACCAGAGTTGGGTATTGAAAACACCGTGACCACAGTTTCTGACGTAATTTTTCGAAATATTATTAAATATGGTCAATGTTCTGCATATATTCCACAAAGAAATAAATTCTTCCATTGCTATTAATAAATTCTCTGTTCCATCCTATTTTCTTAACCGAAAAGATTCTAGTATTAATATGCATGGCCTGGGTGTTTACATCGTGGATAATGTTCCAATGGTAAGGGAACTGTCACGCTTGTCCCCAGACAACTCATTCATGTACTTTCGACTTTCGTTATTACCCTCTGTTAGCTATCTCTCTTTCCATGATAGCACCCCTTCTTATCGGAACTGCAATATAATAGACAACATTTCAGTATAGAAATAGCGCTCTTTCTTCACCCATCCGAGAACATTTTATATTTGGTGATTGAACGTGTATCACAAGTGACTTAGGAATTCTAATGTCATTGATGTTGCTGGTATTCAGACTTTCAATTTATCAATTGGTCAGTCTCTTATGCAAATATTAGATTTCTCTACACCGTTTCCGTAATAAATCTGATCATCATGCTTCCTTACTTGATTTATTCCTTATCTCCTAGCTTTTGTTAAGCTTCGCAACACTGCCTTCCTGTCAACTCTGATCATGCTGTAGTATCGATTGATATATTCTTGCAGTCATCCATTAGTAAGGAAACTCTTATTCAGAAGACTTCCTTCCGTTACCAGTATGCTGATTGGGATTCACTTCGTGACTTTCTTCGAGACACCCCTTGGATTGATATTCTTAACCTCCATTTTGAGACTTGTGCCAATGAGGTTTCTTCTTGGGACAAAATAAGCATAGAATACCTAAATCTTCTCCATGGTTCACACCTGCCTGTTCAACCGCTATAGCCCACAAGAATCACTTTTACTGACTATACCAGCGTGACCGTTCCGATCACAACAGACGCCTATTCGTGGCTGCACGTAATAAATGTAAACAGTTCCTCGAAGAAGCTAAGTCTTTTTTTGCTGAAAGAATGAGGCACTTTGACTCTCGTGATTAGTGAGAGTTTTTAAATAAGAGTAAATTTTCTATTCCTCCTCTCTTCAATCAGTTTATGGTGTTAACATATGCTGATAAAGCAGAATGTTTTCCCCGTAAATTCTCTTTAAACTCTTCCCATGACTCACCTGGAGAATCTTTGCCTGGCTTTCCACTTAGAATTGAGTCTCTGTTGATTGATATTCATATAACCCATTCCATGATTTCTCTTATCATCTCTGATTTGGATCCTCACAAAGTATGTGCAGCTGCTGGTATCTCTATAATAGTCCATAAGAAATGTGCTTCCGAACTGGCTCCTGTTCTCTCTAAACAGTACAATAAGTAACTGTTGCTTTCCTAATTTTATTACGGAAATTGTAAAGATTTACATAAGAATGGTGAAGCTCTGGCTGTTGCTTTGGACACCTCGAAAGCGTTTGAAACAGTTTAGCATACTTGTCTTCGTTACAAATTGAAAAGTTATTGTATCTCCGGACGAATTTTTGAACTGATTCTGTCTTTCTTAACAAATCGCAAAATGAAAGTTATCCTGAATGGCTACTCCTCTGGATCTTTTCATAATAATAATACAAGTGTGCTCTATATATTTGTTCTTATTTTTCATCAATGACCTTCCTGAAAATATAAGTTCTCAACTTGGTATCTATGCTGATAACACAACCATTTACCCCCGTCTCGAGGGAAAGTCTGATCAAATCGATAAGGTGAACATGGCGGCTGATTTAATAATGACCTACAGGCTGTTGTTAACTGAAGAAAAGAAGAGCTTGTTAATTATAATGCCTCCAAAACTGTTGTAACGTAGAAACGGTTTCTGAACCAGGAATAACCAAAACGAAGGTTGGAAATGAAATGGTAATCTTTATAACATCAACAAAGGGCACCTGGAGGCGGTGTAATGGTTAGCAAGCTTGTCTCATTAGAACTATTACGACTGAGAAGGGAGTTCGATCCTCACTGGGTGCCCCATACTTTCGGCCTTGTGTCACATCTAAGCTACGCTTGGAAAATCCCTATAACATCAACAAAATACAATACTCGCCAGCGGCGTAAAGTAGGTAAACCACTGCTAGTGGTAGACTACACATTAGACAGCATATTACCCCCCACGTACAATAATGTCCGACGTATTATGAGGATTGGGACATGCCCGTTAGTGTTCATAGATACGGTATATAACAAAAACAAAAGTGCTGTCTAGTAATCACCTGATAGAACCCTTTCTATCTTCCATCAGCAAAAAAAAATTACAGTTGAATATCCTAAATGTAACCGCATGTTCTATGCTAACAGCTTCTTTTGTCGCATTTCTCGCCTGTGGAACTCTTTTCTGGTTAATTGCTTTCGATCAAGTTTGATCTTCAAAAAATTTAAATGCAATGACAATCGTTATATACTGTCATCCTAATCACGTTTCTAAAAATGCTTATATTTTCTAATTCTTCTCGCACTCAGTAACTTAGTAATCATGATCTGCGTTGGATGAACGATGTCGTTTTTGTGGAAAACACTTTTAACCATATTTCCTTCGTTTTCTGTGGATAAATAAATAACAAACAGTAAGCAGGGAAGATAATACGAGTATTTTAATGCACATAATACTGTGAGCTGTTTCGCAATGCAACATCCTCCAATTTCCTTTCTCTTCCTAACACAATTTTATTATAGGACAGACGTAATGCAAGATATTATTCATGAGGAAAATCAAAAACATTCTCATTCAAATATTTTTTTACAGTAAATTCTAACGCTGTCAAAAGTAAGACGTAACATTCTTTTGAGTGAAGTTTTTTTTTGTTATTTATGAGCAATTTTTAGTTTTGCTTTGTTCTAAAAATGTTTTAATCTTTGTATTTTAAACAATGTATAGCAGTTCACACAAACTCTGATTTGGGCCTACTTTCTGTTTGCAAAAATATAAACAACTATTTAAAAACACTTTACATTCTCAGAAATAATTACCTTTTCATCATCCAATAGCTAAATTGTCAATGTTTTCTGCAGTGGCTTGTTTTTGTTTCCCAACATTTTACCAGTCTCCATTAATTGGTTACCGTCATTTAAAACACTGTCATAAATTATGTACAATGTCCCCGTTAGCATCAATATTTCATTTTATGAACGTAAAGATTTTAAAAAGACCTTTTGAGACAAAATAGCAATAGAAAATTTAAAACATGGATTAGGCTACCTTTTTATGGCGAAAATGGCACAATAATTGTCCTGATAGGAATTTACGCTTTGATTCAAAACTGAGTTGTGTGTGATAATCAACAGTGTCCTTGACTGATTGATTCGTGTTGCTAGGTTTCCAAGGAATTGGCAGTTAACTTGCTAATTTATTAAATGGCCACATAAACTATTTTGACAATCAAGAGATGGGCATGAAATAGTTAGGTAAGGTCGATTTATTTATATTAATTGCTTAGAACAAATGTCCAATATTTGCAGACATCAAACCCAAGTTAAATGAAGGGAAAGAATTAATGGAGATTAAAGAAAAAATGATAACACTGGAAAAGAAAAAAGGAAAAAAATAAAAATAACACAGAAAGAAAGAAAGAAAGAAAGAAAGAAAGAAAGAAAGAAAGAAAGAAAGAAAGAAAGGTGACTGAAAAGAAAAACAGAATGAAACAAAGTAAGAACAAACTAATAGAAAAAGAAAGAAAGAAATAAGAAAACAAAGAAAGAAGGAGATAAAGAAAGAAAGGAAGGAAGAAAGAAAGAAAGGTAGAAAGAAAAAAAAAGGTGACGGAAAAGATAAAACAGAAATAAACAAAAGAACACATCAATAAAAAGAAAGAAAGAAAGAAAGATGACAGAAAAGAAAAACAAAAAGAATCAAAAGAAAGAACTAATAGAAAGAAAGAAAGAAAGAAAGAAAGAAAGAAAGAAAGAGAGAAAGAAAGAAAGAAAGAAAGATAGAAAGAAAAAAAAAGGTGACGGAAAAGATAAAACAGAAATAAACAAAAGAACAAATCAATAAAAAAAGAAAGAAAAGAAAGATGACAGAAAAAAAAAAACAAAAAGAAAAAAAAGAAAGAACTAATAGAAAGAAAAAAAAAAAAAAAGAAAGAAAGAAAGAAAGAAAGAAAGAAAGAAAGGTGACTGAAAAGAAAAACAGAATGAAACAAAGAACAAACTAATAGAAAAAGAAAGAAAGAAATAAGAAAACAAAGAAAGAAACAAAGAAAGAAAGAAAGAAACAAAGAAACAAAGAAACAAAGATGACGGAAAAGATAAAACAGAAATAAACAAAAGAACAAATCAATAAAAAGAAAGAAAGATGACAGAAAAGTAAAACAAAAAGAATCAAAAGAAAGAACAAACTAAAAGAAAGAAAGAAAGAAAGAAAGAAAGAAAGAAAGAAAGTCGACTGAAAAGTAAAACAGAAAGAAGGAAAAGAGAAAAAGGAAAAAAGAAAATGAAGTGATAAAACGAGAGTGAAAAGAACAAAGTAAAAATAAGAGAAAGGAAATAAAAAGAAAACTGGGATAAGTCAGGAGAAAAAAAAGTAATATAAAAAACAGAAGTGAAAAATAGAACAAAATGATGTCATGGTAAAGAAAGGAGAAACTAAGTGACCCATCAGCAAAATAGAGAGAAAGGGCGGGAGAGCAGGAACGAAAGTGGGAAGTTTTTAATTAATATAACATAAAAGCAATTATAAATCGATGAAAAGCTAACATCGAAAATAATGTCAAGTAATTTTGTCAGAAAAGGGAAAGTAACTCACGCACATAACTGCATTTTTAGACTTGAATCAAAATAACTAATCTCTCCAAAGAGGGAAATAAATTGTGATGAAAAGATTATTAGGAACATGGACTTTAGAAGATATTCATTGACTGTTTTATGTGTAAAGTGACGTAACTGCAATCACATTATCTGACCAACATTTAGTGATGGCGTTCTGTAAACTTAGTTTTCTTTATTTTTTGCTAATGTTCACTTAGTATAAAGCCCAAGAGCCTCTCAAGGTAGAGGGTTAGAGTGTGAAGTTTTATGAGCGTAGGAAAGGGCAAGAAGCGAAGTTTTCGGGTCGACGCAGAAAAGATAACAGCTAATTCTAGACTTGAGGAGGTCAAGATTTAATTAGTGAATGAATAACATAGAGGTATAGAGTAGAAGCACACTTTAGAAGGAACCGGAAACCCAATCCTAAACCGGAAACAAGAGATAAACCTCTACTCCAGTCTAAGTAGATATGAACATAGATAGATAGATAGATAGATAGATAGATAGATAGATAGATAGATAGATAATGAATAGGCTTCAACATGTATAAGATTTGATCGGAAGTGAAATGATACTTATAATAAAAGCATGAATTTGTATGGACATTAGGTTTATGACGTTTTTGTAACCCCATGTTCCTGTGTCAGAAATCGATGAACTTTTGTTCAAAAGTAATGAAAAAGACATTTTGCTTTAGTTCTTGAAATTTTGTTTCAATCTTGGCCTTAAAATCCTTTCATTTAGCCGAATGACGCAAATATATAAATGAGTGTGTACATGTGTGTTTATGTGTTTAAGAGAGAAAGAGAAGTGAATAGGTTTGCTTATGCATATAAACATCTACTTGTACTTATATGATTTCACATGTGCATATATATGCATAAAAAACATTTCTTTATGTCCTACATTTTCCTATTTGTGAATGCAAGACTCATATATAAAGATATATGCACCAATTGTTTCAGTGTAGCTTCACTCCCATACGCATACACATAGATATACAAGCACGAAATCATATGCATACGTGCATTTATGTATGCGTGCGTGTAAATGTGTCTGTGTCCTTGAATTCTTACTTGTGTATGAATAAAATGTTCTGTTTATCTGAACCTGTAGGTCTTATGGACATATCACGTTGAAACATTGCTTCTCGTACAATGACAGAAGTTAAGCAAAGTTGAGCCTGGTCAGTACCTAGATGGGTTACCACTAGGGAATACCAGTCAGGTTCATTATAGTCGCGCGTAAATACCTTTGGGGAAGGTATGAATCCACCTCTTCTCCTCTCAGCTATGAGTGAATTAAATAGGAATTGTATCAGTAAAGTTATTATTATCTACAAAATATTCTTAGAATCTAAAAATAAAATCAGAAGTATGAATTGTATGCTTAATGTTTAAAAATCAAATAAATTTAGAACAGCAATAGAATCAGCAGAGAAGAAAAATGTAATCACACTCGAATTATATTAAGGCCCAGCAGCCATTCCTTCCGATTCTAGCGAAAGGCTGCCTAGACCTAATGTGTAATGTCTCTAATATTTTCAAATGTGCGGTGTGGTGTAATGGAGAGCCAAGTTCGAATTCCAGTCGGGTTCGTTACATTCACTTAAGCACAAATACCCTTATGAAAGATATGAATCCATCTCGTCTCCCCCAGCTATGTGTTGAATAGGAGAACAGACCATGTAGCCTTAGTTAGCAACCAGTCTATCGCAGAAAGAAACGGTAGCCTACAGCGGGAAATCCACTTTTATCCACTGGGCTATGTGTCCTTGAGCATGGCTCTGTGGATAAAAGCGTTGGTTGGATCCAGTGACTCGAGCCAAAGAGTTGTGAGTTCAATACATAGCTACTGCAGTGGTGACCAAAAACTTGGAGATTTGAGTTAAAGGGAGATAACTGAGAAACCCAAAAGAAGCATGGCACCGCGGTGGACGAAATAAAGGTTTCAGTTCGAAATTCCAATTACCTGAAGAAGGCCGGAGCCTACAACGACCAAAACGTCGTGAATATGGCATGAAAGATGAGGACAACAGTCCGAATAATGCAAATAGTGTAAATAATTACAATGAGTGATACATATTTGTAACAATTTCACCCCAAGCAGTCAATAAAGCCACTAAGACGCAATGGGTTACTGAGAGTGAAAAAAAATCTGAGAAGAAATATTAAGAGAGGACAATAAAAGAAAAAGGTTCAAGGAAACAGAAGATGACGATTGATTCTACAGTTAAATTTTTGAAGATCAAAGTTGATTGGAAAGCAAGAAGCTGGGATAGATTTCCCGAAGCAAGAAGTGCGAAAGAAGAAAATGTTAGCATAGAACTTATGGTTACGTCTATCAGTTTCAACTGTAAAGTGACGAGACCTAGCTGCCAAAAGAGTACTGCGTTTAAATTCCTAAAGCAGAGCTACCAAAGAGGAATTCCCATTAGGAAAATTACCATCTAAATATTTAGTAAAGATACAAGGAAGCCACGTTACGTTAAGCCAAGGTGCCAGGTCAGGACCGATAACATTGCAGATTCTTCTTTGGATTTTGTTAATAATCTCTAGATGCATAGCAGAAAAACCAGACCAGATGTGGCTGCAATAATCAATGCATGGAAGAAACGAATGGCCGTCACCATTAACATTGTTTAATATATAAAAAAAGAGAAAAAAAAATTCCCGTAAAGAGTTTTTTCCGTTTTTTTTTCTTTCTGATGTAGTGAATTATATTTGCTTTTGTCTAAATAAACAATCTATGTATTAATTGGATGTCATCTGTCACATACATTTGTAAATGGAATGGAACAAAATGAGACTATATGATTTTTATCTCAAATGACTATACGGAACCTTTAACACGGGGTTGATATGACGCTTTATAAAAAAAAAAGTAAAGAAAAGCTACCACAATTAAAGACCTATGTACTAACTTAACTGATAATACCTACAGTCGAGTACCCTGCTATAGAGCTTAGCAAGCTCATAACTATAGTGAGTTATATTCTTACTGAATGACCAAACTTATAGCTTATGCTATTTTAAGCTAAGGTTGATAAATATAGATAACAAAATTGTGTTTGAAAGTTACAAAATTGAGAACCACACATTAAATATTTCCGTTTTTATAGCATTAGTATATAATTGTATATTTCTTCATTTCTAAGCATAAGTTTCATGTTAACGATTTCTTCACTCACACTGAGGGTGGTGAGAAAGAAAACTGGACGGTCAGAGAGTGGCAGCGGCACATCTGAAACATAACATAACATACATTAAACAAACATTGTAGCTGAATTGTATTTTGCCTTCATTTTACAGTGTATCCCATTTATATAGCAATTATCATGGTAAGTACTAAGATACTCATTTGACATGCAATCCTAGCACCAAGAAAATTCAATAATTTGGGGTCGTGTTAGAGTTGTGTTTTTGATACACAATGGGGCGGCAGTTCACCAAACGTTAAGGAACCACTGCTCTAACATCTGCGTAGCTGCAAAGGACAGCTGTTTTTAATGTGATCAACCTAAAAATTAAAGTTTTGATTTTTAGCAAAGAACAATACAATCGGCTACAAAGCATTTCCAATGTGTTTCATACTAGCGGTTTTTGTCTATGCTGAATTGTCTTATGTAATATCTATCAACCATCTCTTAATTGACTTGAATGAAAATCCTGTTGCTCTAAATTATAAAGCGGGATTTTTTTTATTAACAACAGCAAAGATAATTCTTTATCGACCGGGAAGGTAA